AGAGGCAGGCATTTCTCAATATCTTACCAAGTGATTCTACTATCAGCCAAGTTGGAGTCACTGTTCATTAACAAGTGCCATTATGCCATTAAAACTTGAGTAATGCTTAACACCACAGGGTAACATGCCTAAGGCAGACACTTTTAGTTACTGAACTAAGCGTCCCTAGGCTAGTTTCCATCTGACTATGGCATTCTGAATCTTATAAACCACTTAAAGATACTAACCTGAATTTTTCTTCATCAAATGTCAACTGAGAAAATGTATGATAGCAAGTTAAAATGCATGGGGACAAGTTCAAATGATCGTTCCTCGGTTTATGGGCCATGTATTGTAGTTTAACACCCGTTAAAACGCCCCAATTAAAAACAGCCACTCACACTGAAGCGCTTTTGATCAACGGGAACAAAATTAAACTCACTAATCTCTTCACACAGAACAAGGAGGGACTGAACAGGAAAAAAAAAAGCAAGGAAGACCCACTGCAAGATCAGAAAAAACGAAAACTAAATCTTTTAAAAAGCTGACTGGCTCTGAAGACTTAATCTTTCCCCGGAAGAGTACAACTACGTCCAGAAACGAGCTCAGGTACCCACGCTGTAGGGTGTGACCGCTACGATCAAGGCCCGGGGACTACTAGGATCAAAACCAGTCCGGGAAGCCGCCCACCGGAAAGTCCGGCCCGAAATTCCCTTCCTTCGCCCCGCCCCGCCGCGCCCCCGGCGGCTCGCCAAGCCCAGGGAGGAAGCAGCCGAGCGGCGCACGAGGACACGCGTCACCGCGTTCTCCACGCCCATGCGGCTGACGTCACGGGGCGGAGCCAGCCCGGCGGCGCCGCTGTTGACCCTGCTGTTACCAGGCGCGCGCACAGCCAATCAGCACTCTCCGCCAGCGCCGGCCGGCCTTTGAACTCAGCACGGCAACTTCCTGCTGTTTGGCGAGTACACAGTGCAATGCAGTATGTCTGTCAGCGCTGCGGCACAAAGGAACAGCCATTTTGTGACTGAGCTGGACCTGCACCAAGATGCCAGGGGCTCCGGGCGCTGCTGCCTGCGCCAAATACCGAGCGGCCCCCTGTTTCATCATCACAGCACCAATGGAGACGTGGGGGAGGGGATGTTCTGGTATTTCAGGTTTCAATTCGTTTGTTTTCAACCTTCTTAAAAAAAATCCCGATTTTTAAAAGTATTATCAGCGTCATAAAATGGCTGCCACTTAAAACTGTTCCGGTCCACAATCATTGCATATACCGTTTCTAATCATTCCCAGCCTTAAAAGGCTCAGAGTTGCGAAAATCGTTAACATTTTACCCCAAAATTCAAAGGCAGACTATTTGGACATAAATTTAATTTTAAGATCAATTGAAACATTGTATCCTACAACACAAACGTGTGACACACACGGTTCCACGTACACTTCCTTCTCCCTAGTTTCCACTTCTGGGTATAACGTGGCATACCTTATATAGTCCATAGCTAAAACTGTGGTATTTAAAAACTTCTACAGTGTAAAATGTTTAAAATCACATTTACGTGCATTTTTAGTCTCCAAAAGTGATATATACAAAGTGTTAACACATTAGACATCAGCAGTAACTCAAAAGACTACAAGACACCCTTATAATCACTATTAACCTACTGCACTTGTCCCAGGAAAGTTTTACTTAAAACTTTAACTCTTTCCTTCCAGTTCCTCGAGTAAGTCATCCAGAAGTCTACTTGACCTGAAAGTAATTCCCTTCCATTCCTGCAGGACCAGGCAGCAAAGGTGATTTTTGTACTAATACTTCATGCCATAAAAATGTTAAGTCTCTACAGACAAACTCTATGACTGGGGAACCAAGTACTAGTTTACAGTGACAACGCACTAGAAATAACCTACAGTATTAAACCAACAGGAACATCCTTTATGCTTTACTATCTTTAAAGGAAATGATGTCATAACTATGTCCATGTATTAATAATAATAATGTTCACAACTTTTGAGTAACACTCATTTAAAAGTAACTCCCATCTTCTCTACAAGGAGTCTGGAGTACTTGACATTCCTCAGGTATACTTCAAAGTATATTTGACAAAGGCATTAAAAACAAGCTTCTTGGTCAAATGCATGACAATGTCCGAGAATCATTTTCTAGATAAGAGTAAAACATACTGAAAGGCAGCACTGCTAGATTTAAGTTACAGAGCATAGTCTGATCAATGAAACCACAATCCTTGCATAAGAAAGCCAAAACCCATGTGAGAATATGCAAATCATATGCTCAAGGGAGTAACAACTTTAGTGATGACTCTTTAATAATTTGTCAAATATACCTAGGGCTTCCTATAACTTCAAACTGTTACTTTCCAGAGAAAGTTTAGCATTTAGGGTTTTTTTTGGTTCTATATATAACTCAATAAATATATGGGCAATTCAAAAACACTTATCAAAAATTGTGACATTTCAATTTGCAAAGGAACTTGGAATTATATTTTTTAAAGCAAGGCTCAAAATAGTTTTCGTCTAAAGCAAAATGAAGCACAAGCATTTATAACAAACCATATTGAACACTTCCAAACGTACACCTTAATTTAGAAAAAATGTATACAAAATTATAAAGTAAAATTTAAATTGTGAAGAAAAAAAAAATCACATAACCAATCACATCCTTGTTACTTGCATGATTTAAAAATTATGACAGGACAATTCTCATAAGAATGCATTCGTGTAATTTTTTAGACTTAAGATAAAGATACAAAGGTCATACAACAAAAACATCTTAGGATTTTATTTCTAAAATCACTAATAAGCTACTCCAAGGAAAGTGAAACAAATCACGATTTGAACAAGCAGTAGTACATTTGTAAGCTTCCGAAGAGAAAGCATTCCAGACGACTCTGTCAAAATAAATCAATAAATTTAAAGGAGCATCAACTAAAACGTGATAAAATACACCTACCAACCAGAAAAGCACTGTCTTAAAATAAGCATACAAACATGAACCTTAAAACATTTAAACATAAAATCTACAATTATATAGTAATAGTAAAAATCAAAAAGCTTGTCAAGTGTATTAATGGCATTTTGGGCTTTTTGTGGTTACAGGTTTGATTTCAGGAACTATAAGTAAAGGTTTGGTAAATCATCAAAATTTCCTAAAATATCAAGTGTATCAAAAGAAATGTAGCATCAAATAAAAATATAAACTGAAACGCATCAGTCAGAGGGTTCTATTTGAGATTTCAGTTTTAAATGCATATTTTTTCATTCATATAACTTTCTCAAATGTCTATTTACTATAATTTACTACTACAGGGCTCCTGTATGGCCCTCAGTTACAAGTTTGGATATCCGAGATTCTTCAAAGAAAAAATTTGCCTTGTATGTAAAATGGTGCAATGCAGCAATGGCTAAACAGACAAGGTCATTTTTCTGCAGCATGAAAACCTAAAAACTAAAATTTTACTGACAGAAAAACTGGAGTTTACAGGAAAGGCCCCTCTGAATAAAAGTACCTTACATTTGACTGCTGGAAGAGGCCTTAAGTCACAACTCAACTTTCATAAATTGCTACCAAAAAATTAGGGTGTGGCATATTAGCAATCTCAAGGTCACGCTTTAAAAATCGAACCCAAGTTAGAAAAATTCTTATAATAACACAGACAGCAATCCATGTCTGTCAGAGTAAACACTGTAAGCTGAGGTTTCCAAAAAAAAAAAACACAAAAAGAAAGAAAGTTGATAGCTCATACCTCGATGCATTGCTGTGAAGCGAACTGTCCTCCTCTTGGCTTTTGTCCTTATTTCTCATCATCTTTTAATTCTTAAATATTAAGGGGGGAGGGGGAATCTGTGTTTGCTTTGAAGTCCTGTGCCCAGGTATTTACTGTCAAAAGTTGAAAGAAAGGTAAGGTCCCAGCTTCTATGGATGGTTTTTATTATCAGGAACAAAGTCCTGACGATGTTAGCGATCATGTAATGTTAACAACGGTAAGCACCAAAAAACAAAATATTTCTATTTTTTCTTCTTTAAAAAAAAAGGGGGTGGGGGCAAATCGAACAGTAGAAGCATCACTATCAATAAGGAAAGTTTCTCAAAGTAACACACTGGATACAAATAACAATCTGTATCTTATTGCGTCATTCAGCAATTTCTCATTTACAGTAAATAAAGAAAACTTGAACATAAAAATACTTGAAATTACCACTAATTATCATGAACTTACCTGATCCATGTAGTATGTCCAAAGCAAGAGTTCCTATCTGGTAGTAGAAAAATATCAGATCCAAAATAATTAAAAATAAAGCAAAATCCTCCGTTAAAAAACAAAAATTAAATGAAAGAATCTCCAAATATGTTAACTTGTCAAAAAATAAAGCAATAATTAATACTAAATCCAGTCCGGAAGAAAAAAAACCTCATTAGGAGAGCGCACAAAAATGGAGGTGCGCCATGGCTTCTAAGCTGGAAAAAACAACGACCTGGGCTCTCAGAACGGCAGCTTCTTTCCAACAAGGCACGAAAAGAAAGCTCCCAAAAACTGCTTTTCTCCCAAAAAAAGGTTCAGATCGACCCCAGTAAGTCAGTAGGAGAGGCAGGGGGCTATGGGGGCCCCCTGAGGCTGCCCGAAAGTTAGAGAAAGTTGCGTAAAGTGAAGCGAAGCAGGGAGCAAAGCGCGCTCTCTCTAAGGCACAGCCGCCATCTAGAGCCTCCTTCCCAGCTCTGAGAGCTCTGCCTTTGATTGACACTCTCTACATTTACCCCACAACTCAGGTGATGTACCATAGACCCACCCCTTCATCTCCACCAAAAAAAAAAAAAAAAAAAAAAAAAAAAAAAAAAGAAAAAGAAAAAAAAAAGCTAGATCCACCATCCCAGGGAGCCAACAGACCCCCCACCCCCACACCTCCCAGCCCCACCAGACCACCCCATCAGGGGGAGGGGGAAGGGCTTCTTAACCCCCTCTGGCTCAAGCACCCTTTTTAAGCCAGAGAGAAATGGAATTTGTTCCTTTTGTCTAAAGATCTGCTAAATATTTCAGTCCTTGAGCTAAAATAACTTCCTCCCTGGACAGGAAGTGGTGTTTTATCAAGCCATTTTGAAATAAGGATAATTCTTAGAGAATCTAAAGCCCATGTTAAGTACTAATCTCTTTAAAAAGTAACACCCTCATGGGTAAGATGGTTTGTAAACAGCAGCAAAATCTCAATACCATAAACTAAACTCAAGTATTGTCCTCTATATTGCTTAAAAGTCATCTAAAGGCTAAATTTTGGGGGGAATTTTTCACCCCAACTGGAAGAAAAGAGAATTGTCAGAACTCAAGAGCGCCTCCCTAGTGTTCAGTTGCAGTAGAGCAAATGTTAATGCAACCATCTTTTTCTCAAAATTTCACAAAATTCTTTAACCCATTATTTAACCTTGAAAACCACCCATTAAAAATTCTCATAATCACAACATTCTAAAGCTACACTGGTGTAGGCAAAATAAAATACTTCAAACTCTAGAGTATAGACCAACCATGGTCACCTTTAAATCAGAAACTCAATAAACTCCAACTTCAAAAACAAAAGAACCAGTATATCCCAACCTTTCCCTCATATTTCAAATCAAATTCTAGGTATACACCCATTTCAACAATGACGACAGGTCATTAACAATCGGCCATATCCAATAACAAATTATCAAACTGTCACAGAACAAACTCCCAAAGAACAAAACTATTGCGACTTATAGAAACAAAATTACTAATGCCAGAAACAATGTTGTCTCAAACACCCATGCAGACAGGTAACCACAAGCGCCGGCCCTAAAAACTCAAATCACCTTTCCTCACTCAGCCTTCTTACTGGCCAAAACCAAGTCATTCCATCACTAAGGAAATCCATTCTAGATTTATAACCAAAAGCAATTATGTTACATCTAAGTAGTGCAAAATCCATAATCAAGAGTTTCAATTCTGCAAAGGTAATTTTTATATCAAAATCAAAATCCAAAACTCTTCAATAATGTAAGCAAAGACCAACCAATCACCTCACAACACTCAAAGAACACTGCATGTGGACTAACCATGGATGTGTATATTACCATATTTGATATTAATAACAGATTATTTTATTCTCTGTATTGAGAAAATATAATCAATGGTCATTTGGTCAATCCAAACAAAACCCTCATGCCTTTATATTAGTTACTGAAACTGGTATCAGCTAATTAACAATAAATGAAAACCTGGAATTTGAGTTCAACTTTAGGTAATCTACAGTATAGGGTGATTCATTTATTCTAAACTCTCTTTCATAGAACAAGAAAAATGTAAGATTTGTTTCAAATCAATGTAAAATACAGACTTTTGTCACTCCTTTTGTGTATACCCTAAGGACAATTCCCGATAAACATACTTCTAATATTAGTTAACAGAAACAGTCTAATTTAAATTATACTCAAGTGAGCATTCTATTGCTACTTTCATCAACGCAAATTGAGTCTCCCTCACCCAAAGTTTGTAGGCAACAAGCACATTATTTTGTAAATTCATTATAATTTCATGGCACATTCAAGACTCCACAAATTAGCTTTGCAAGGTATTTTGAGAAGGCCCAAACAGAAATGTAAAAGAATTCATTTAAAACCTAAAATGAAACAAAAGCAAAACTGCATTTTTAACCAAATGACCATTCCCAAAGCACAGATATATTGACCCAACTTTCTAAATAAACATAAAACTCAATCATTAAAACATTTTCCAGTAGACCATTTTACCAGCTTTATTCAGTATACTTTACTGCTGGACAACTGTAAAGGTCAAAATGTTATTAAGGCGAAATGAGGAATTTAACAAAAACTTCTACTTTTAAAAAAAAAACGGCCCAAACTGAGAAATTTTTAAGTGTTAAAGAGATTTTATTGAAGTTAACATTCCATAAGGTCATTCAGATCAAATTGTACTTCCAGAAATACAAACTACCATCTGTATTAATGTGCCATCTTTCTTCTCCAATATCAAAAAATGTACATGATATGTAAGAAGTCTTTAGAAAGTCAAATCCACTGTCCACTTGTGTTGGGTAAGAATCGTTCATTTCATGGAATCCATGTTAAAAGAACCCTGTCTTGGTTGTGAATTATTACAGCACTCTTGTGTTAATCCATTTTCCTCAATTCCCCAATAGTGGGCTGCCATCTTGATTTCTTAGTGGTAGCAGGGTCCATATGAAACTCTTCAAGCGGATTGGGTGCTTCATAAAAAAATTAAAAGAAAAAAATTCTGTTGGAATAAGCATCTTATTTCTTCAATCAGAAAACATCTACCCACCTTGAAGATACTCTACCATACACCAATCTTAAATTTTGTAATGTTAACTATGAAGCTACATTATTTTTTAAAGTTACATGTGATATACACATTTAACCTCTCAAAGACAGAATCAATGAAAGGACTAACACAAAATTGAGAAGTTCTCCTGTCAGATACATTTGTATCCATTTAAAATAGTGGCAGTCAAGGGTCAGATTTTTAAAATTTAACACTAGCATCATTATACCTCATACATGAAAAGTAAAAAAAAAAAAATTCAAAATTATTCGGAGGTTAAATTACTGATACATTACAGGCTCTTAAAATTACAATACAGAAAAGTTTCTAAGTTCCTTCAAAGACAACTAATTATAGAAAAGAATCTTGAGAGATTAAAAAAGCAATGGATCATAGCATGACATACTTTTACTGTCTAACAGATGGCAATTCTGTTTAGATAACACTCTTGACCTATATAGATGGAAGCACCTTCAGTTACATATCTAAGAATGCAAGAAATGTGAAGTCACACGGAAAACAATGACAAAAAGTGAAAAAGATCTACCTGGCTTACATGATATTTACTACAAAATGCTATCACTTTTCAAATTATATACAACTAAAATACTCTACCAAAACATCAAACGTTCCTCATAGAAAAATTACCTTATGTAAATGGTCTTAAGTAAAAAATGGGAAGCCAGGTGATTTTACCACCAATGATCTAGATTCATTTTATTCACACAACATTGAAAAATCATTTTTCTTCTTCCATTTTGTATGTGCATAGTATACATAATGTATGTACGCATGCTCTTGGGAGAGGTGCTTACGTGCATGGGTGAGAGTGCATATATACTAGTGCATATGTAGGCCTACCTAGAGTTGATACTGATTTTGGGAACGGGAATCATCCTCTATTGCTCTTCCAGCTTACTGGTTGAGGGTCTCTCAACCAAACCCAGAGTTCACCAGTATAACTAGTCTTGTTGCCTGCTTGCTCTGGGGATCCTATCTCCACCAGGAATTACAGAGGGATGACAAGTAGGCATTTACTTAGATTTCTGGGAATCCAAATTCCCAAGGAAGGAAGCAGTTAATCACTGACCCATCCATCTCTCCAACAAAAAAAAAAACATTTCAATCTCTGGTCTTCTATGGTTTTTTTAATATTTTATTTATTATTTTTGTTTTATGTGTATAAGTATTATTCCTGCAGGTAGGTAAGTGCACCCATGTCGTGCAATGCCCACAGAGGACAGAAGAGGCTGTCAGAGCCCCTGGAACTGAAGTTATAGACAGTTGTTAGCTGCCATTTGGGTGCTGGGATTTGAACCCGGGTCTTCTGCAAGAACAGTGTTCTTAACTGTTGAGCCATCTCTCCAGCCCAAGGTCTTCTATGTTTTTACAACTCTCCTACTCAATTTGTAGAGATACAGTCAAGAGTGACAAACTTGGGGACAAATAACTAAGGCTATATTTACTTGAAGGCTAACTTTCTTGTCTCCTTAACTAAAATTACAGTATGTTCTCTACTACATACAAAAGCCTACTAAATAAACTATTTAGATAACCAAAAGGCATTACTGCCTCTCTTAAAGAAAATACTGATTCTTTAAAGGAATACTACTCCATTAAGAGTGTCATGCCACCAGTAACAATCAAAAGGAAAATCTTTTTTTCTCTAATGGCTTTTGCAGATTTCTTAAAATTGTTCCTAAAAAATGAAAAATCTATGAAACACCTTTTGCCATGCTCACTTCTTAAAATTAATAAACTGAAGTCTGCCATGGCGGTGCAGGACTTTAATCCTAGCACTTGGGAGGGGCAGACAGATCTATGTGAAATGGAGGGAAGCCTGGTCAAAAGTGCCACTTCCAAGCCAGCTGGGGATCTCGAAAAGACCAAAAAAAAAAAGAGGAAAAAAAAAAGATCATAAGATCATTCAGGGACTAGAGAAATGGCCCAGCAGTTAGCACTGACTGTGCTTACAGAGGACCTGGGTTCAGTTACCAGCACCCACATGGCAGCTAACAACCATCCATAACTCCAGTTCTGAGGGATCTACTATCCTCTCTGGCCTCCATGGGCATTGCACACACATGGTGCATGTTCATGTATGCAAGCAAAACACTCATACTCATAAAAGTAATTAATTAATTAATTAATGATTACCACTGTACAGGCTAAAGATGTATAATAACTCAGTTGGTAGGGAGCTTGCCTAGCATGCACAGAGCCCTGGGTTTAGTCCCCAGCACTGCAGGAACTAGGCTTGGCTCATGCTTGTAATCCCAGGAGATAGCTGCAGGAGGAT